ACAACACTAGTCTAGGTCAATACTAGAAAAGGCATCAAGCGCATAATAACCTCCCATAACCTCCAACTACTATATTGCAAGAAGAAAGATATATTTCAAGCCTAAAAAAAAAATTCTGAAACCATCCTGCCAAAGTCATGAATTACTTTACATCACACTGCCCTTGCACATGAACACATTTTTTCTAGATTGCATACCACTTATGACATTTTCAACAACAGATTACCAACTATAGTCCAGTACTTTAGCACTTCCTAATCTTCAACTCCCAGAATTCATTGAAATAATATTCCCATAACCTCTAAGTACTATATTCAAGGGGATGAAAGTTGTAGCCCAGCTATGTGCCCAGAGACCCCAACAATATGAAAGGTTGCTTTAAAGCACTAAAGACTTGAGTCCTCTCTTTTTTAAACACACAAAATACTGAAGGCTCACATCATTAAAAAAATGTTCCTCGTGTTCTGATTATGGAGGGAGGAACACCAAAAGTATGGCCAGCTATAAATCAATTTAGACAGTGATAATTTAGCCACCATTACCCATTCTTTGCAGTCCTCCAGGTTAGATTGAAGCAGTAGTCTGAACATGGAGCTGCCTTTGAAGACTATTCAGAAATGTCTAGTACTTGCAATGGGGGCAGAGGGGCTCTGTCTTCTTTCCATACTTCATAAATCTCTTTTCTGCCAGCCACTTGCATGGAATTCCCTGCATTCTCCAGCATGCAATTCTATGGTTGCCAGGCTAAAAGTGCAAATTTTTAGACTGCCTGGGAAAGTACCCATACATGAACCTGCTCAAATATACCATGGTAATACTCAGAACCCCTGCTCTAGATGCCTCTGCCTTCTGAAATACGCTGGGGTCTTTTCAGCAGTGCCAACCACTTGTGGAACTCTTCCCAGAAAAGCACACCAGGTGTCAAGTTTTTTTACTCTTCTGGTATTAAGCAAAGGGTTTTTATTCTATTCTATTCTATTTTTCAACCACATTGTAGTGATAACTTGATGTAGGTATCTCTTCTTCAATCTGTTATTTTTAAGATAAATTTGTGGTTTTTAAAATTATTTTATTATTATTTTGAAGCTGAATTGAACTGAGAGGTAGAATCTAAAATCTAAGAAAGTTAACAACCTACAGCACATCAGCACTTCATATTCAAGTAGTGTAAATTTCATACTGTCAATTTGTAATTACAGAAACTTTGATTCTGGGAGAGAGATCTTCAATAGAGTTCTTCCTATGCATATAAAGCTGCAATTCTCTACTCCTGCCAAAACAAGTGAGGAGGGCATCACAGAATTTAGCAATTTTCAAATTTCAGCTAAGCTACATTTGCATGTCTAACCTAGTAATACAGAACCTGTGGCCCTTCAGATGCTGAACTACAACTACCAGCATCCCTCACCTGCCCACATAGCAATCCAACCCCCTTCACTTCCTATTAGTACATACTGACCAAATATGCAAGTATGGTCAGTAGATAAAATGCTGGATAAGGGTTCTGCTGATTTCATCATTAATTACAGTAGCTTGTATCAAATCTCTATCTTCATCCCATACTCTGTGTGTGTCTGTGTCTATGTGTATACATGTGTGTGTGTGTGTGTGCACGTGTGTTATTCTACAATATTGGAAACATAACAGAACATTATTTCCCCCAAACTTTTAAATGGGAAGATAAAATATCAACCTGCCATTCCAAAAGAGTAGCTCTCAGCTTATAGGATAGGCTGAGACTGGCATGCAAAAGTTATAATTCAGCAACAGGTACTGTACATGCAGTTACCAAGTGTGAAGAAACAGACAAGTAACTCTTCAAAAACAAATTTTCTCTACAGGATCTCTCAATATTAAAACGATTACAGACTTAAACCAAGAACCTGAGGCTGAGACCTTGCATAGCAAGCTTCATGGACCAATGCACATTTAGATTGCAGCACTCTCTTTAGATACAGCAGAAATAAAGTAATTAACATTAACCTCTGCTATTAGCAAACAGCTTGAACAATCTAACTGGACAAACTTGAAATAAATATTAGAAATTCACTGATATTACATTAGGCTTTCCTTCTAATTTTTCACCTCAGTTATTAACCTCATAGCCTTAGATTGAGAGTATGCATAGAGAAATACACGACAGGTAGTCCCCAGTTTAAGAACAAGTTCCGTTCCCAAGGTCTGTCCTTAAATCGAATTTGTATGTAAGCCAGAACAATATTATTGTATAATACTGTATAAGTAGTACTGTGCAATGAATTCAAACCATTGTGTATTTAACTTGAATCATTGTATATTTAAGTTGAATTTTGCTACAATAGGCTCCATTCTTAACTATGGGTCATCTGTAAACCAGGCTTTCTTAACCCGGGGACTAACTGTATACTTAATGATCTGGATTCAGATTCAGCCCAAGATCCCAGAAGTGAAGGTAGCCATTCATGTTTTCTGTAATTTTTTTAAATGTATATTTTTGTTCAAGAAACTTCAGGAGGCATTTCAATTAGACTTTTTTTTTTCATTCAGTTTTTGCTTCCTTGAAGATTTAGTGAAAAACAACAGAGTGACAGTAAGGTAGCTTCCAATTCTTCTCTGGTTCCCATATCATCATAACCCTGGTCTCTTGGCCAACAGAGGTTAAACTACTGAATTTTATTAATTTATATCTACACTTCCAGAAATTATTGGTGCTCAACATGGCTAACAAGCAAAATAGAAAACACCCCACAAATCACATTGTCAAATAATTAAAATATTATTTTAAAATATTTTGTAATAAAACAAAAAGCAACTACTCAGCAAACTGTTTTAGGACTCCCCGAATAAAAATGTTTTTGCCTGCCCTGGAAAGGGTAACAGATGGAACTTCTCTCAAAACTTAGAAGGAGCCCGTGAAGGCCCTCTGTCTTCTCCCGTGTGTACCTCTAATGATGCCAGGACTGAGGAAGGGCCCTTTTATCAAGATGTTAAAGGCAGGGCAAGAAGTGTGGTCTTTCAATTACCTTGGTCCCAAGTTGCATAGAGATGCCTGGTCACAACTAGTAGTTCACATTATCCCTAAAAACAGAATAGTACTCAGTGGAATTGTTTCAATACAGGAAGCCTTAATGTCCAACCTAGTTTGCAACATCTGGACCAACTAAAATTTCCAAAAACTTTTCCAAGATAGCTCCACAGAGCACACTATTAGAATCTCATTGGGATGTAATCAAGGCACAAGTGTCACAGTGATCTGATATCTACAGAAATTCAGTCACTGCGATCATTGTACTTGAGCATCATGAAACCTTGATATCAAAGGAAGATTCACAGGCCTTCGAGAAGTATGCTCCACCCAACTCTATTCCCTGCCCTGCCTTTTAACTGAGCATAAAATTCACATCATCCAGATTTTGCTCTAATGCAGTCATACAAAGAGAGTGTGCATCCATCTATGTATGTTTGTGTAGTCAAAAGTCTTCCTACTTGCATATGTATTTACAGACTCCTTTGCATTTTTTAATATATACTCTGATGGCTTTTCTCTGGAAATACCAGTACCTGCAAAAAGTCTAGGATATAGCCATTTCTACTAGTCATAGCACCCCCAAATCTATTTATGTATTTAGTGGGATTTTAAACATCCAGTGTAGTCCCAAGTGAGATCTGTCCCTTGATGTGAGGTATCTTATGAAAGTTATCCATACCACCACCCTCCTCAAAACCAGTTGCTGTTCAGCTGCTCTCTTCCCACTGTCAAGAAAGTCAAAGTTCTCCATTTTTTAAACCCCAGGCAGCATAGGCCCAACTGTGAGTTAACAGATATACATGCAACAGGTGTGGCCCACAAAGTCCCCTCTGACAGCCAGAGGGAAAAAGTCAGTAGCCCCCCTCCCATTAAAACAGAACAGGAAAGTCATTCACTCATTCATGCAACTCTGCTTTTAGAATAACCTACAGGAAGAATCTGAATTTCAACAGCTTGGAGATGATAAAACCCCGCCATCCCACCTTTGTATCCAAGCATGCAACCACCTTGGAGTCTGCTGGTTTGGGGAGAGAGAAAATGCCAACACCATTCTCCTCTCCATCCACCCTCTCTTCTCAGAGCAAATCCCTTTGGGCTCCTCCATAATCCCATGCAGGCTGCACTGGTCTCTAAAGGACTGCTGGGTAAAGCAGGCCTTTCCAGTTGGCTGCCTTGCTTTGGAAAAGGCAGGCTCCTGGCTCGCTCTGAGCTCACTCTGAAAAACTGGAAAGCACTGCTTTCAAGAGGGCAGCTCTACCTAAGGGACAGAGGGAAGCAGCCACATCCAGGAGCAGCCATAACCTCTTGAAAAGGACTGTGCAGTTAAGCCCTCCATTTAAACAAACCCCTCGCATAAATGCAGTTGAGTTAAGAAACACCCATTTATACATTAAAAACTAATCCTATCATTTTAATCCAAAATCCCCAATCAAACAAAACAGAAATGTAAATTAGTGGGAGTGAATACTTCAACCTCTGTGTTACATGCCTTCTTTCGGATTCCAGCCCTCCCTTAGAATAATACAATGAGGCCAACCATTTTGACCCCACACAAGTACAGTCCCCTATGGCTTAATTCTTTGTGCAAAACATGCCAGCAGATAGGCAATTGTCAGGAAAATAAATGAACAGATCCTCCTGCTGAAAAATATACAACTCTATTATTTTAATAAGAAGGATGCAAGGAGAACCATACCTCCCACCACCACCATCCACCACATAGTCACTTATTTATATAAGCCAATGGAAACATGAGGCCTAGGCTTCAAGGGTACATACACGTATTTTCAGTGTGCTTGTGATCTAAGGCCTTCTACCATTCATCCTTCCTGAACAATTTCTAAAGAGATTTGTCATGCACCAAAATGCTACACAAATCAACAAGACTTAAAAGTCCGAAGTAAATAACAGCCTCAAGATACAAAGAACACTGATATTCAAATACAGTTAAGAAATTAGCACTGGGGCTAGAAAAATGCAAACCCTCACCTACCTCTCTTCTACAAGACGATCCAGAAATTCTCACCCGCCAAAATCCATAGGCAAGATACAGCAGAAATCATTATCCAAAAAATCAAAAAGGGGGGAAAAGGAAAGATTTGCATTTGTTCCCTCCTTTTAAAAAAGATGCCAAATATATGCTGGATGCTTACTTATAGCCACTCAGACAAAAACAAAAAACAAAAAAACCCCACAAACACATAAAAAAATAGGTTTAGAAAGGATGCTAAATCCAATATCCGACGATTTCTCCACCCAGGAAAAAACAGACTGCCCAGCCCCCTTGCACAAGGAGGGGGTGCTTTGCTTCTTTCCGCCACGATACTTCGGAGTTTCAAAATAAGGCAAAAGAAAGAGCGAACAGCAAGATCTTCCTAGGACGGCACACAAAGGGAGCTCCGGGTTTGCCTTTGATCTTCAAGCAGCCGTATCCGAGGAAGAAACCCCTTCTTTCTGCTGCCTTGGTCTCCCTTCTTATACCTCCCACTCCCCCTGTTCTAGCAAGAGGCGCCCAAACAGAACGCTTGGGAGGCCGGATGGAACGCTGAAGAATGAAACCCTCCGGATGGAACGCTGAGGTTTTCCCGAGGGAGGGGGAGCGAATGGAGGGAAACAGAACGTTCAGAGTTTCCCGTCTGCTGGAACGTTCATACTTTTCCTCCTGCCTTGTAAATTTCCTCACCTAGTAATAGACACACACAACCCAAACTAATCCGGAGTCTTAGCTTATCACCATCATTATTTGCTACACTGAACCTTTCCAAAGAAGGCTAAATGCACTCACCGCCTCTATCGTAGGAAAAGCTACAACAACACAGTCTTTACTCCTTGTATCGGCTTGGGGAGATTTCCCCCTCTTTTTCCCCCCTCTAATCTCCTCCCTAGCTTCTG